CCTTTTTTTGAAGCTTATCAAGAGAAAAAAACAGAACAAGAGCTAGTATAATTAACAGTCTAATCTAAAAAAAGTAGTTAAAAAGATTTTTAGTACAATAAATCTGCTTAAAGAAGTAAAAACTTATTTAAATACTGCAGTAAACTTAGTATAGAATTATTTTATAAAAATATTTAGAAGCAAGATATGTGTATATTAATGACTAAAAAAAAAGAAAGATATAAATATTAAATAAAAAAAAAGAAGACCAAAGCAGAAGAATTCAAATATTAATATAAAATAACAAAAATAATTATAAAGAAAAATAGTGAAATCTAAGATCAAATCAAAAAAAGTTAAAAAAATAGAAAAAGTAAAAAGAAAGAAAAAAAAAAAAGTACTTGGTTTGATATAGTTAAAAATTTTATTAGAAATAAAATAGAACTATTTTGATATAGTTTTACTAGTTAGCTTGGTATTTCTTAAATCGTCTAGTATACAAATTTGTATACTAAAATGATTTTTGATCTATTTTTATCTATTTGCTCTAAATTTTATTAAGCTGTACCCTATTTTCTAAGCTAAAATAAAAGTGTACTGTTTGCTGGTTATAATATAATTCTTATTTTATGAATTTTTTTTAATGATATTCTAAAAATTATTTATTTAACATTAGCTGTAATAGAACTTTGATGTCTAAATTTAATACTAAAAAAGGACCTGCACGTAATACTTATAAAGATTCTTTACAATTGTCACCTACAGGTTTTTTATACAGTATAATATAATATATAAAGTATATCAAAAATTCTTTAAGATTAATTCTATATAATTGATTTTAAAGTTAATGTTAAGAAGATAAACTGGCTCAAAAATATGGATAAAATGGCATACTTTTCAGCTATCATGCAAATTTATACTCTTGTTTAGATTACATGAAGTATTACATACTGTAACTATGAAGTTTGCCATGTAACTCAGGTCTTAAAGAGTCATCGCAACCAATTAAAATAAAAATTTTTATAAAAATTTTTTTTCTAAGTTCACTTTTCTTTAAAATATTTTAGTGTACAAATATGTACACTAAACCGGATGTTTTAAGAGATAATTCTCTAATATAGACAAAGTCTTAATTAGTATACAGACTGCTTTTAAACACCCTTCAAAGCAGCTGAGATATATCAAATCAATAGTTTAAATACTTTGATATTTGTGTATATATATTTTAATCTAATAAAAAAAACCAGCAAGGCTGCTAATAATTTCAAAAAAAATAATAAAAAAATAATTTAAAATAATTGCAAGCTTTATTGGTATAGCTTGTAAAACTAATCTGATATTAGCCTTCTGGTTATAAAATTCATTTTAAGCTAGTGTAGCAAACTATTTCTAAATACTTATGAGCTAGCCAAAAAATATTGGGCCTAGATATTAAACTCAAAATTATATATAATATTCTTAATAAAAAACTACTAGCAAGGTTGCTAAAGTTAAAAAAAGTTGTTTATATTAGGCTATACAAAGTTAATTTTTAGTTTTCATAATATACAATTTGAAAAATGACCCGCAACCCGGCCTTTAATTTTATTTTCAAAAAATTATATATATTAAAAAACATATAAAAATTTTATAAACTTCTAAAAACTTTACCCGAATAGTAAATATAGTCCAAAATTTTTTTAAGAATTTTGTGAAATTTGACCCGGCCGGGTTATGAGAACCAATTTATTAAGTCTGTATAGCAATATATAATACAAAACAATTTTTTATATAACAAACCAATTATTTTATATATAACAAATATATAACAATGAAAACAACAATAGTTAGACTAAAAAACTATATACTAATTTATTAATTTATAAATTTGTATAATTTAAATTATTAAAATTAAAATAAAAATATACAATATTGTTAAACTAAATTAAAAATACTAAAATTATTTTTACTATTTAAAAACAAGTTAAAATATTATAACAAAAATAATAGTTAATTTTATTTATATATATTTTTATAATAATATTAATATAATTAAATTTAATATTAAGTAATAATAATACTATTAATCAAATATATATATCTATATATAGTTTTAATTTTTTGCGTAATCTATAAATAAAATTATATAACTTTTTATATTTAGTATTAATAATTAAATTTTTATTTTAAAAAGTTTAAAAAATAAAATAAAATAGTGAAATAATTTAAAGCAATTTAAATTACAATTATATTAAAAATTAATAATAAATATATACAAAAATTTATACACAAGCAAATTTTTAACAAGTTAAAAATAAAATTTATTATATTTCAAATAATTAAATATATTGTTTTAACCGTGAAAGATTTTGTATCTCTCAATAATGTTTTTACAAATATTTTGATTTATATAAATTCTAGTAACGTAAGAATATTATAAATTAATATGAAAGATTTTTTCTTACAAGGCAATAGAAAATATTATAAAATAAAATACCTGATATTTTATGCAGTGTTGTTAGTGGTAGAAGCATTCTTTATTTCTGATGATCTATTATAATCCGCAAATGCCTCATCATACCTCCCTAACGTGTAATAAGTGAATCCACGATTATATAATGTGTCTGCATTATTTGGATCTAGTTCCAATGATTTATTGAAATCTATAAGTGCTTCTTCATATCTATCTACTTTGAAATAAGTTAATCCACGATTGTTTAATGTTTTTGCATTATTCGGTTCTATTTCCAGTGATTTATTGTAATCTGCAAGTGCTTCTTTGTATTTATGTATCTTACAATAGGCTGATCCACGGTTGTTTAATGTATTTATATTATTAGGACTGATTTCCAATGATTTATTATAATCAGCAAGTGCTTCCTTGTACTTTCCTATTTGTTTAAAAGTCAACCCACGATTATAGAATGTATTGGCATTATTTGGATCAATCTTTAGTGATTTATTATAGTCTCTTAGAGCATTTTCATATCTACGCAACTTATAATAAATCGACCCCCGATTATTTAATGCATTTGCGTTATGTAGTTCTATTTCCAATGATTTATTGAGATCTGCAAGTGCTTCTTCATATTTATCTAACTTACAATAAGTTAATCCGCGATTATAAAGTGTATTGGCATTATTTATGTCTATTTCCAACGATTTGGTATAATCTATAAGCGCTTCTTCGTATTTATATATATTGCAATAAGTTAATCCACGATTATATAATGTATTTGCATTATTAGGTTTTATTTCTAACGATTTATCATAATCTGCAAGTGCTTCTTTAAATTTAAGCATACTATTATAAGTTAATCCACGATTATAATATGCATCTGCGTTGTTTTGTTCTGTTTCCACTAATTTATTATAATCAGCGAGCGCGTCATCATATTTACCCATCTTATAATAAATTGATCCACGATTATTTAATGCATTTGTATTGTTCGGTTCTATTTCCAATGACTTGTTGTAATCTGTAAGCGCTTCTTTATATTTGCACATGTTATCGTAAGCTAATCCACGATTGTAAATAGTAATTGCGTTGTTTGGTTCTGATTCTAATGATTTATTATAATCACCAATTGCTTCCTTATATTTGCACATATTATTATAAGTTATTCCACGATTATTTAATGTATTTGCGTTATTTGGCTTTATTTTCAATGATTTATTGTAATCTGAAAGTGCATTATCATGTATACCCATCTTTTCGTATATCAGCGCACGATTATTTAGAGTACTTGAATGATTTGGTCTTATTTCTAATGATTTACTGTAATCTACAAGTGCTTCTTCATATTCGTCCATATAATCATAAGTTGATCCACGATAACATAATGTATTTGCATTATTTGGATCTATTTCTAATGATCTTTTAAAATCTGCAAGCGCCTCTTCATATTTATCCATTTTATAATAAGTTAAACCACGATTATAAAATGTATTTGCATTATTTGGGTCTACTTCCAATGATTTATTGTAATCCGCAAGTGCTTCTTTATATTTGCATAACTTTCTATAAATTAATCCACGACTATTTAATGCGTTGATGTGATTTGGATCTATTCTCAATAATTCATTGTAATACACAAGAGTTTCCGTATCATCATTTGAATAGTTTGGATATATTTCTAATGGTTTATTAAAATTTACAGGTAACTTTTCGTATTTGTCTACCTTGTAATAAGATTTATTACAATTTGCAGATGCTTTTCCGTATCTTTCTAGGCTTTCATAAATTAATTTGCGATTACGTAACGCACCTACATTGTGTGGATCTATTCCCAATACTTTATCAAAATCAGAAAGAGCTTGTTTGTATCTTCCCATTTCAAAATAAACTGACCCACGATTAATCAATGATTCTATGCTATATGGACCTATCTCCAATAGTTTATTAAAGTCCGCAAGTGCATTTTCGTATTTACCTATTTTGTGATAGGCTAATCCTCGATTATGTATTGTATCTGCATCATATGGATCTATTTCTAATAACTTGTTATAATCTGCGATCGCTTCTTCATATCTACCTATGCTATCGAAAATCGAACCACGTTTATTTAATATGTTTGAATCAGTCGGATCTATTTCTAATGATTTATCGTAATCAGCAAGTGCTTCTGTATATTTTCCTAATTTTCTAAAAGTCAATCCACGATTATTTAACAGAATATTATTTAGTTCAATTTCTAATGACTTAGTAAAATCAGCAAGAGCTTTTTGATATTTGCGCGTATAGTAATAGGTTAATCCACGATTATTCAATGTATTTATATTATTTGGATCTATTTCCAGTGATTTATTAAAATCGATAAATGCCTCTTTATATCTGCTTGTCTTATAATAAATTAACCCTCGATTATTTAATGTATTTGCATTGTTCGGATCTATTTCTAATGATTTATTGTAATCAGCAAGTGCTTCTTCGTATCTTCCTATGTTATAATAAATTAAACCTCGATTATAAAGTGCGATTGCATCATTCGGATTTAATTCCAATAATTTACTAGCATCTGTAATTGCTTCTTTATATTTTCCTATTTCATTATATATATCGGATCTATATAAATAAGCTAAAGGTTTTAATGATTTTAATCGAATTACTATTGCTAAATCTTTTAAGGCGTGCTGATATAATCCAAGTTTCCAAAATGAAAATGCTCTTCTGCATTGAATAGAATAATTTTTCGGATAAAATTGCAAAACTTGAGTTAACCACATCATAACAGTCGCATAATCTTTCTGTTGTTCTGCATCAGCTGCTTTATTAAATGCAGGATGTAGACTTTTTGGACAAGTTTTTCGCAAAACTGTAACAGGAGATTTTAATGATAAATGAACTCTAAATATATGCATGTTTTCTATTTTTAAAAACAAGGCATCATCCGTTAAATAATTTTTGTTCCTAGATACTTTACGGTTTTTCATTGAATTAGTTAGATATCCAGCCCGTTTTAACCTTTCATGAAGACCTTTTATCATCGCATCTTGTATTAGATTATAGAGGGAATTTTGATCTATTTCAGTCCTACAAAATGGACATTCGAATAATTTACCCTCAAGTATAGACATCTTTTTCCACTCATTAATGGCATAATAGCTAACAGAAAGACCACAACACGATAAAATAAGAAAATCGCCAGTTATTTGTCCAGTAATTGGGCAGGTAAAATTTTCCGCAATTATTTTTAATAAAAAATTTAAATTTTTATCTGATGAATTGATCTTAGTTGATGATTGTCCTTTGCCATTGTCCGTAATGAATTGATTTAAAAATTCATTATCTAATTTAAGCTTTTTCTTTACATCACGAATTAAGTTAATAAAGTTTTTCTGAGCATCCATTGGTAACGCTTCGATAAAATTTTCTATTTCCACTTGAACCATGTCTTCAAACCAATCAGGTTCTCGATAAGACAACGATAAGAGTAATTCTAAAGATTTGAATTGGATGAAGCAACCTTGAGATTTTTGCAATGATTCTAAACCCAAGTAATAACAAAAAGCTAAACTGGAGGGTTGAATTGTTTTATAGCTTAAATCTTGGGCAAGATCTAATATTCCAAACCATAATATGTTTGATAGGGTAATTGGTTCTTCTCCGGTCCATAAATTGGAAAATTCATAAAATTCATTCCGATCATTCAGGATCGTTAAAACGTCTGAATAGGTTGGCTTTTCGTAATCCTCATTAAAAGCATAATGCCAAAGAGATTCAAGAATATAAGCCTCGTTATAGAATTGTAAAATATTATAATCTCTTTCCTGAGCTAAAATTTTTAATGAATAATGTACAAACAAGAGTTCACGCCATGTTTGATACCAGTAATTAATAGGATATTTAAGCCTAAAAACATCGGTAAATCTCGGTATAGTTCCACTAACAAATAATTTACCAAACGTAGTTGGAATGTCTCTGAAACCATTAGATGTTTTAGGAATGTCCCTAACAAATGTTAAAAGGCCTTTCTTGACACAACTTAAAAATTCGTCATAATAAGTCTCATCATCACGCATAATGTGTAAAGTGTCCCGCAAATGGAGTAATAAAAAATTAATATTAAAATTTGGAAAACTTTCATAATTATCATCAGTGTCGTAAATTCCCTTAGGCGTATAACTACGATCATTATCGTGACAAACTTTGCTTATTTGATGGTGAATGTCGACAAAACTATTTAAATTACTATAAAGTTTTTCTCTTATTTCACGAGTTAATACAATAGAAGAATAGAACACTGTTTCTAAAACTGTAATCCAAGTTCGCAGGTGTAATTCTAAGTGTGGAATAGTATTGCCTATGCTGCATTCAAATGAAGAAGAATTGCTAAGCAATAAAAGCGCATCAACCAATAATTCTGCAGGGAATTTTACGTCAGGATCTTCAATTAGAAGTTTGAATCCAA